AGGGGCAGAGGGGCAGAGGGGAACAGGGGGAGAGGGGCAGAGGGGAACAGGGGGAGAGGGGAAGAAGGGGGAGAGCAGGACAGGGGGAGAGGGGGAAAGGTCATTGGCTTTTGGGAACTCTTAGGAATTTTCAGCCGCCTTGTTGAGGTCAGGTAAAAGGTTCTGCCCCGCTTCCTTAAGATGGCCAATGATTAGCAATAACATTGTGGTATGTTACACTCAACACAGCGGTCAAACATCTCTGCACATGTGTGAGCGTTGTAGTGACTAGGGCGTGGCTTGGTGGCATGCTTTCAGGCTATCAAAACCAAGTTGTCTTATAAACAACCACATAGGCGGGTAAGTCGTTCTATTAAACTGATTATTAAACAAGCTTTGAGCGTAAAAGCACACCACCTGATTACTACAACATTCCCACATGCACAAACGTTTGACCACTGTGTAGGCAGTGTTCAGGAGACTTAAATTAAGCCCAGTCTATACTCCAGTGGATGGTTGTTTGTCTGTAGTTGACGTGGTCATAAGTCTGCTAGGCCCAGATACATGCACAATTCATGGCTCTGTCAATCCCAGACCTCTCCTCATACTGCCTGCATTCAAGTGGGAAAAAACACGAGCAGCCCTGGAGCTCCAAGGGCAGAGGGTAACGGTGCACATGAAAAAGTGTGGCTTAAATTGTTTGCTTTCACCCCATGTCCTCGCAAGGCTAAAGCTTTACTACTTTAACTACCACGAGTGATCAAGAAAAGTAAAATTCTCCTCACAATAATGCATATCTGTCTCCTCATAATATCTAAACAACATCAGGCAGGAAAGTGATGAGATTAAATAAAAATGTCAATAGGGGGAATATTAGTTAATCCAATACCAAATTCTCTGAACTAGCATTATAAGAACTGTATGGCAGACAGTACAGAGAATTCCTAATGAGATCTGGGAGTGAAAAGGCTCGTGAAACAAAAGCCTGCTTCCACAAATACCCCAACTCCAATCTATTGTCGAGCTTGATTTATCTCAATGGACTTGGAAAAAAAATGGACAAATGCCTAATGTACAAGTCTAAAAGAATTTCAATATGTCTCCCTTGAAGACTGAGAAGTTGACAGCTGGGAAAAATTTTGACAATTTTGCCTTAAATTAGCAATCAATGGCATGCACAGTAAGAAGTAAACATTTATAAAATATTATTTTTGCTTGTTTTTATTACTATTGTAATTACTATCATCCAGCATCATCATCATTATCAATAGGATCATCATTAGATAGTAAAATCAATTTTCTGTTATGTATTAACTATACATCTACAGTTCCAAATATCCAGTCTACAGTTCCAAATATGAAGAACATGAAATGTTGCTCCATTCAGAAACTAGAGAAAGGAGAAGTTACAGGTTAATCACTTCTGGGAGCTACAGGCTTAACCCTTTAAACCCTACAATTGACTAACATCAAATTTCTCCTTACAATATC